ACCCGCCCTGACGGACACGTTCACAGATGGCAACCCTATACATCTATTTGAAAGCGGGTCTATACTGCAATATATTGTAGATAGGTATGACACCGAAAACAAAGTCTCTTATCCTCGTGGCAGCAAGGAGTATTATGAGGTCAATAATTGGGTGAGCTCGATAAACTGAGACCTTTGTATGGCATCTTACTAATATAAAATAAGCTTTTTTGGCAAGTTGGCGGCCTAGGACCCATGCAGGGGCAGGCAAATCATTTTCTTCGTAGGGATTTCTTGACAATGTGCTACTGCACTTCTTAAGATATTGATGGTTTTCTTAGGCTATACTCCAGAAAAGATTCCGTATGGTATCAATAGATATCAGAACGAGACTAGGAGACTATATCGTATCCTGGACAAGCAACTCAGCAAATCTAAATCCGGCTTCGTTGTTGGGGACCGACTTTCTCTTGCCGACATTGCTTGTATCGGCTGGGTCTCATTTTACGGTGAGTGCTGAAGTCTTTAACGTCCTCGGGTGAAATTCTTTGACTGACCTAAAGCTCCAAGACTGGGGTGGCATTGATATTGAAGAGTTCCCAAACGTCAAGGCATGGTTACAAATGATGACAGAAAGGCCAGCTGTCTCAAAGGGGTTGAATGTTCCGGAAAGTAAAATTGGTCCTGAACCACCGACGCCAGAGTTTATGGAGATGATCTACAGTATATCTAGGAATTGGATCCAAGAAAGCATGGCTGAGGAAGCCAAGAAATAGACGGGTATTAGATCTCCTTTGTCGAGACGAAATAGCCTACACACAAGCGGCGTTTTCACCTTAAATGCGACGGGCCTGAAGAATTTCCCCTAATTTCAGTAAATGCATGCAACCATTACAGCGTGGCGTTACTAAGCCAAATGCGAGCTTCAGGAAATGTCAATATTTAGAATAGCCACCGGGAGTTCGAAGGTCGAATGACTGCTTGAGTTAGGTGGCTCAGAAGGCCCATAAGGTGGTCCACTCTCGGTGCTCGGCTTGCCATACCGAGTTTGTCGGCTTGCGCAGTTATCCACTTCAGTAGAAAGCGTGGTGATGGCTTTGGCAAGTCATAGCGGCCCAATCATAAACTCTGAATTGGAGTAAATCACCGGAATCGGCCGCTATCAATTGACATGAAGTTCAATGTAATAGCTTATACGAATATCGTGTGCTCCAAAGTCTTCCCCTTTCCATCCAACTATCTCCTGATGATTTCAATTACTTTTAATCTTGTGTAGCCAAAAAAATGTCCAGTCCCAAAATACTACATACAGTGGACCTGGCCCATACGGCCTCAGCCTACTTCTCACCGGCGGTTGTTGCTGGTAGCTCCATACACATTTCTGGGCAGGTTGGCACCGTAAAAGATGGCTCTTTCCCCGAGGATTACGACTCTCAGATTCATCTTGCGCTCATCAACTTGAAGCAAGTCATCTTCGCCGCGGGAGGCTTAATCAAAGACATTGCGAAACTGACACTTTACATCGTCAATTATGACCCAGAGAAGCGAAAACACGTGAGACATCTTCAAAAGTTCCTCAAAGGCCACCGCCCTGCCATCACTTTAGTTCCAGTTCCGCAGCTGGCTGTGCGGGGCTATTTGTTCGAAGTTGAGGCCGTTGTCGTACGGTCTCAGCCCTCACCAGCCGACTTAGTACTACCATCTGACTCTTCTTCAGTCAGGAATGTAGACGTTGTGGTCATCGGCGCTGGGCTTGCAGGATTGACAGCAGCAGAGGACGTCATTCGGTCAGGATTATCGTGCGTAGTTCTAGAGGCACGGGACCGAGTGGGCGGAAAGACCTGGAGTCAATCCTTAACGAAAGGAGACGGCGTGATTGATCTCGGAGCAGCCTGGATCAATGACACGAATCAGAGTCGGATGTTTGCTCTCGCAAAACGATTTGGTGTGGAGCTCATAGAGCAGAACACAAGTGGAAATTGCGTCTTGCAAGACTTTGATGGAACGTGTTCAACATTCCCTTACGGGGAGTTGCCAAGGGTGAGTAGCTGACCGAAGCTTTGTAAGTGTGTGGAAATTGACCAAACATTAGTTTGATGATGCAACTGTTCAGAACGTAGCAACTATCCGCGATTTGGCGGAAGCTGACTGCCAAGCTCTTGACACCTTTCATCCACGAGATACAAAGTTGGACTCTATGACCTTCGAGGCATACCTTAAGTCTCGCGGGGCAGGCGAGGCAGCTATGGCAACGGCTACATTGTGGACAAGAGCAATGCTTGGTCAAGAACCTTGCGACATCTCGGCTCTGTTCTTTCTTAACTACTGCAAGTCTGGTGGTGGTCTACTGCAAATGAGATCGGACCGAAAGCATGGCGGACAGTATCTCCGTGTTCGACAGGGAACGCAGCTCTTTTCAAAAGGACTTGCTGAAGCATTGCCCAAGGGAGTCCTCGAATTCTCTACCCCTGTCTCCGCAATCCACCAGACAGGACCCCAGACGATTCAAGTCGAAGGAGCTGGTAAGGCTTACCGGGCGCGAAAAGTAATCTGCTCGACACCCAGTCCAGTTCTGAAGACTATTGCATTTTCACCACCACTACCAGTATCCAAGACGACCTGGTTTGAGTCAACCACCTACGGTTATTATACCAAAGTCATGGTAGTATTCAAGTCGCCATTCTGGGTCACCAAGGGATACTGCGGGCTGACACAATCTTTTGTCGGCCCAGCGTCTATCATCCGGGACACGAGTATCCCGGCTGACGGCAAGTTCGTCTTGACTTGTTTCATGGTGAGCGAACCTGGACGCGCATGGTCTAGATTGTCAACGGAAGATAGAGAAAGCAAGTTGTTGGATCAAATAGGTCAGCTTTTCAATCACCAGGACATGATACGGCAGGAATTCATTGAGATGATGGCTTATGAATGGACGAATGACGAGTTTGCTGGCTGGGGCTGTCCTTGCGCCTCGGTTGCACCAGGCGTACTGGATGCCGTTGGCAATGCTGTGCGTGAGCCGGCTGGGGACGTCCACTTCGTTGGCACTGAGACAGCTGGAGAGTGGAAGGGCTACATGGAAGGCGCCGTGCGTAGTGGAGAGCGAGGAGCTGCGGAAGTCATTGCTGACTTGAAGAAAGTAGTTGCTAAGCTATAATGTTGAGGCTCTGAAGTATGCAAAAGTAGCCTCGTTGTCTGTTCACTTTCATCAAAAAAAAACCAAAAAAAAAGGGTTGATCAAATAGCATTCACTTGCTACCAAGATTGACTACCTATGTGATCATCCGGGCTTCTTCACTATGACGCCTAGCACTAAACTAAGCCACTACTGGTGAGTTTGACCTGTCTTCATATTGTGGCAGAGCAGCACTGCCACCAAACCTGATCCCAACCGCTGGCAGTGCCACACCTCGGCCAGCGTCTCGAGTATACAATGACATCGTACCCAGGGCATCATGGCATCTCTTCAAAACAAAGACTCCGCTTGAACTTTTCAGTTTTATCTCGAGCTTGTATCGAGGACCGCAACAATGGATAAGTCCAGCGGATTCCCTCAGGATAAATCAGAGCCGCCGCCGTCATTTGAGGCGGCTACCAACGCAGGCGGACCATCGCAACCAGCCCCGTTCCGGACGCGCTTCGCCTGTGTTACGCTCAATCAAAGTGATCGCATCCGGTTCATCAACTTTCTTAATGATGATGTAGCCGCCCTTAGGGATGTGATCCAGACAACATGGCCCAAGGGCATTCAAGATTTCCGCAAATACGGACAAGCTGACGAGTTCAAGCTGCGCGGGTACCCATGGAGTTACGACTCAAGCGGAGACGACAGGTCGCGGCGGCTGGTACGCAGAATGCTCGAGGCACTCTTCGATCGAGGTTGGGTGCTACAGGCTGCCGTTGATCTCAGCAAGAAGGAGTACGATAAAGGTCTGTGTTCTGCATAGTGAATGGTTTTGGCCGTCTGATATATCCCACAAATGAGTTCACTGACGCGATAATAGACACTCTTGTCTTTCGATACCAATCACCGCCTCCACCACCCTGTGACTGGCTCAGCATCTCTTTTGATCGACACGATCGCCTCAAGCTCGTGGACACGCCGCCACCAGATCTAGCGGCGGCTATTCTAGGTATTTACGGGTCCAGTGTCTCCCGCCATGACATGAAACCCGGATGCTTCGAAATCAAATTCCATGGGTCACCATGGTGGCCATCAGGGGAAGAGACTGTCACTACGCGCTTGATGCTGCTACGACTACTCGAGGTTCTCGAGAGGTTTGGTTACAGCTTATACGCGAGCCTAGACATGATGAACAGTAGTGAAGGTCACGAAACAGACGTACTTGTCGTCCACAGGCAAAAGAATTGGGTACCCGGCACGCCGATATGGCATCGCTGAAAGTTTGGAGAAGACGTGATTGATCCAAGAGCATCTGAACTCGACACGAAAGCGTGATGGCGGGGGATAGCGATGCTGTTGTTCACAAACTACTTGTAGACTATTCTTAAAGATTCATCCACCAGTTCAAGCTGGCGAGCTGGTATTGTCCCGAAGAGGACCAAGGCGTACAGTATAGCATAGTGATTTACAGGCTCCTTCACTCGCTATAGTCAGTGACGCAGAGAGCTAACGCAGGCTCTCTACCCCGCAATACTCTCTCCACAGCGCCCTTCTGATGACTGATGACAAATGGCGAATTGCCTGACTCTGTTCGCGTGCATCGTGACTTACTACAATTACATGCCTGAACGACAAAAATCAAGTAAAATAGCTGGACGGCTTCGATTATCCAACGGATCCTCTTTCCTAGCGCTGGAGGTTACTGAAACAAGTTTATCGATATCGTTGACGAGAGGTGCTGTCTTCAGATTGTGGCAGACCGGCACAATGATGGATTTAGAATCCAGGAGCTTTTATCCAACATTGACGAGAAATGTTACGCCTACCACGAGCGGCTCTACCGTTGTGAGCTACACATCGACTGAGCCGCATGGTGGCCCGATTTTAACCCTCATTCATGGCTATCCTCAGTCAGCGTTCATGTAAGACTCACTGTTACAAGTCCATATTTCTTGCTGCCGCTAACGGATGTCTGCCCGTGGCCAGTTGGCGTCATGTAGGTGGTTCCTCCTTTCAAACCATGTAAGGCAAATGCGACTAATTCGACTTGTAGGTTGTGCCAGCTCTCGTCGGCAAGGTAGCTCTGTTCATCCCGGAGCTGCCTGGATATGGAATTAGCAGCCCGGCACACAAGCACTCCAAGCTTGACATTGGCAGAGCTCTCCTCGAGGCACTGGAGAAGACTTTTGACATTGGGAAGTCTTCGCCTCGGAACGTCATCCTCGGAGGACACGATCGAGGGGCGAGAATATGCCACAGGCTCGCAGTCTCACGGGCGGAGTTTACGTCTATCAACGTCGTTGCCACCATCCTATTAGACATTGTGCCGACCAAGATTCAGTGGGACAAGTTTCAAAATCCAGCGATTTGCCAAGGATATTATCACTGGCCCCTGCTTGCAAATGTTGACATCGCCGTTAAGTTGATATCTGCATACGGCGGCGCGCAGTGGTGTCGCGATGCACATTCACGGCTTGCCAGTAGCGAGGAGGGTGCTCGGCGAATCCAATCAGGCAATGCGGTGGATGTATATGCAGCATTGTTCGACAAGGAGGAAACATTACGATACAGCGCCGAGGATTACGCCGCTGGTGCCGCTCCAGAGTATGCCGAACAGGTGGAGGATCAGAAGGCGGGGCGCAAGCTTGATGTTCCGACCATGGTGATGTTCTCAAAAGCAGGTCTCGGCTCGAGGATTGATGTGGCGGAGGAGTGGAGAGACTGGATCACAGCCGGAACCACTTACGAGCCTGTTCCTATCGGAAATGGTTACGGTCATTACCTCCCAGAGGAAGCTCATGATCTTGTTTCAGATCATATTCAGTCATTTATCCAAAAGTTTCTGTGAAGGACTCACGGGACTGGTCTCGGTAACATGAGTTATGGCCGAGGCTACCCATCTAGAGGACTATATAATAAGCTCTCTACTGATGCTTTGATTCTTTTGATCCTTTCAGTCAAACTTTCGGCATCCCTCATCCTCATCCTCTTCGTGGATTGGTTCTCGTGGGTCTATGTGTTTGTCTGGCGGCTTCGGTGTTGTCATCGGCGTTGTGCTCGTGAGATGATCATGAATTTTCAACCGTGAGCTGAGTGCGTCCACTAGACTGTCTATCATTGATTCTTGCATCTCCTTTCCAACGTCGATCCAGTCACGCATCTCCAACATTTCACGAACGCCCTCCCAATCCACTGGGCTTTCAGGCATTGTCGTATCAGCCATCCATGAACTCGAACGTGCCGGAAAGTCTGGGGCCTTCGCAAGAGTGCTTGCACTGTCCGTCCAAGCCGCGTCGGTGTTGGGATCATCGGTGGACAGGCGTAATCTCTTCTTGAGGCTCATAAAATCATTCATTCTCACCAGCTCCTGGGTCTCCTTCCCATCCTCGTCCTTTCGCCACTTTACAATCCCGTACTCGTTTGCGCCATACCAAAGCTCATACACGATGCCACCAGAAAACACGTGGGTCATTTCCGTTGAATAAATCGCGGAGGTTTCTTGGAATATTCGGGGGCGTATAGTGTTCGCCCCATACTCGGAGAAGAATACTGGAACATGGGCGTCGGAGAACCTCTCAACCTAGGCTGCATGTCAGTTTCACAGATGATCCCAAAAAGCAGGTAGAATTGCTCTGTCTTACGAGCCTATCGTAGCCTGAGATGGACATGGAGGCTTTGCCCGACCAACTGTAGCAATTGAACTAAATATTTGAAGTTTGTCAGCTGTAGAATGCAACTCAATCCAGCCGAGACTTACACAGAAGAAATCCAGAGCCTCATCTGGATCCCCAGCAGTAAAATAATCGAAGGATTGCCTGAGATACATGATAACATCAGCAGAGCTATAGCCCACGGGTAATTGCCTTTGACCAGAAATCCCGTGAGCCAAAGCCATGTATCTCTTCACGTCACGAGTGACGGCCCTAACCACGGGCGCAGCGATAGTCGAAGGTTGACTATTGATGACCTCGTTGGCGGGAATGACTCCGAGCGTGTTCGAGTAGGCTGCCATACAGTCGATGGTCTTGAAGTAGTGCTGCATAAGTGGGAATTGGTATGATTCGTATGGTGCTGCCCTGTTTATACATTGATATTTTCGCGGTGTAGAAAGGACCTGCCCCATGTCTCAATTATCGGTTGAAAGAGCAGGTGGGTTTACGTGATAGAATCTTACCACGAGAACATATATGCCGGCCTCTGCAAGAAGACGCATTGCTGCATCGTGTGGCTTCGTGTTGTCAATCTCGACTGTAGTTAGGTTAGTCCGGTGGCTAATTGTGTATTACCAAGGTTGGTCTCACAAACGAATACCGTATTCAGTCCCAGCTCCTTGAGGAGCTCTATGTCTCGCTTGAGGTCATCGAGACAGTCATCTGCAATCGGGTCCCGATGACGTGACTTGTAAGGCTTCTTGTGATCTTGATACACGATCCCCTTAATCATGAACTAAGATGCATTTCGCGTACTCGTTAGTCTTGCGGTAGACACTTGGAGGAATGGTGGTTGCATCGCCTTACTCGCTCGGTTCCCACCCAGAAATATCTGCCTCGTATCGACACCGACTGTAGAAGCTCCGCCATGGTTGCTGTTGTGTTTGGTTATATGGCACACATCAAGGCTTAAAGGAGGCTTCTTGAAGTAATATTGTGTGAATTGTGACTGACTGGAGTGGATCTACTTAGGCAACAGCGTATAAAATTAACCACGAAGGCAAAAAGGAGCCCTGTGACGTCAAGTGACACAGGTATCTTCGGCACTGATAGTCGCCGACAACCGAGCCCAAGCATACTACTAATATATGCCAGCAGCTCTGGTTCATAAGACCACCAAATAAAACACTTCTCTACGTTTAGATGGCCCATGATACTGTAACATTGGTCAACCGCTCCAAAGCCTCGAAGTCTCTTTCCTAAATCTAGAATGAACAAGAAAAAATGGACTGCTCAGACCGCCCTCGATCGGATGCGCTGCGACGCTAGTTCATATTTGCACTAACAGAATCAAGGTTGGCTATGATGAATGCTTCACAGCAGCGTGGCGTAGCAGTTGTCATGGAAGGGTATCGCTCTATTAATTTGGGTTTCAATCCGGTAAAGACAGAGTATTTCCATGCCGATGCAGTTACCTAACACTCAAACAAAATGTTCACGCAGCCGTTTCCCAATGGACACCGGCGCCATGCACTCCTAACACGTCTTTGATGGGAGTCAATGTCCTCCCGCCCACATCACCCCAGAGCCCTGTCACCTAAGTCCTCCAGCGCGAATGCACTTCTCGACCCAGTTTCTTGTCGGTGTCTTTGGCTGTTGCGTGACGCCCCAAGTCCGCCATGTACTTTCATCACTGGGTGTTTCCAATTCAGCAGCTGATGGTGCTCCCGATGGAACACGCAAAGCCGGAGCTATCGGCGCAAGCCTGCTTCCGGACTCTCTTCGCGTTTTGTGAAAGTAGCCAAGGCCATGGCTCTCGGTGGCATAAAGCGACAGGAGGGTGCCGTTCTGTCCGGCTGAGCCCATTGTATCCGTCTGAGAGCTATCGGACCAGTAAGTCCTGATTCTTGTGCCAGGATGCGGCTCAATTCGAGACTCTACAAGCTGTGGACCATTGGGATTGTTCTTGTACGCATCCGGGATGACGGGTACCGGAGGTTGTCCAGTGGTCGTGTCTGATCGGCTGACGGGTGTCACCCTCGGCGGATACTGCCCACGGAAGAAGCGTGCAATGGAATTTCGCAATCCCCGCAACGTTACAGGCTCAGGCTCAGGAAGAGGTGTGAATTTCTCGTCGATGAGATATCCATTGGGTCCGTATGTCGAATTGCCCTGTGGCCCTCCATTCTCAGCATCATATGCTGCACTCATCAGCTCATCCATGATCTTCGTGTCGGTCTTCCCATTGAGTCTCGGCTGATACTCTGATGGGAAAGATGACACTGAACCACCATCAGATCCAGGTAGAACGGCTACACTTTCAGCCTGAGCGCGTTTTCGATGCCGTCGCCACCGAAATGCAAAAAATAGAAAAGCAGCAAGCACGGCGACCGAAGCTGTCGTTGTGGTTAGCCGCAAAAGTTTCGATGTCTTTAATTTTTCCCGTCCTGGAATCGAACGAACTCACCAAGTACAGGAAGAACAACATGGATGCCCTTTCCTGGCGACCCTTCCGAGCTACTCTCAATTTTCTGGACGGAATTCTGCTCCTGTGCTCCTCCTGGTCCTGAGGTTGTTGTCGGCTCGGCACTGCTGAAAATTGACTGCGATACAGTTGGACTTGGGGTAGGTTGTGACTCGCTGCTGGAAGATGAAGAGGCCACCGAAGCCTGTGGAGCGGCCAGGGCTGATGTGACGGAGGTGGCCAGCGTGGTCGAGATAGTGGTGCTCGAAGGGAAGGTTGGCGTATGTGGGATTGCGGTGAGGGTTACGATATTGGCAGTGGAAGAAGCAGCCGGTCCGAGGGCCGGCGGTGGTGCCGTTGAAGAAGCTACCACTGCTGGCGGAAATTCCGTACTCGTCGGAGATGGTGACGATGCAACACTTGAGAAACCACCAACAGAGGATGCAGATGAGGGAGGAGACTCTGCTAATTCTGGCCCTTCTTCCTCAACCTCTACCTCCTCTCCTTCAGCAACTGCAGCTGCCGCACTCGATGCCGGCGCAACATCTCGAATCCAAAGTCGAAGGTCCCTCGCAAGTCGCCTGCTGCTCAGCGTATTGCGCCTGGCGACAATTAGTAAGACTTGAACAAACTCGCAACATGTCGACTCACCCCATATCTGAAGCTTGTGGTTCAAAGCCAAGATGAGCCTTCACAAGGTCCAGGTTCCTCTTCAAGAACACCTTCTTGAATCTCACGAATAGAATAAAAGCCCAGCCCAGCTGCAACAGTGAAAGGAACGCTCAAGACACAAGGAAAAAGGGCCCTGCCCAAGGAAATCACCGAACTCGATTTCACCTTCAAGCCTCACAGAATGAACGACAATCAATGAACAGTGGATCTCAAGAGAGAAGCCAAGAGAGAAAGAAGAGCAGCATTGCTGAGAGGTAAATGGAAGAATCGCATCCCGTTTGCGCAGCAATTCCCACGGCTCTTCACAGACCTCGTCGCAGGTGACGACTTAGTGCTGGACCGTTACGTTTCAGTGCTCTCGGCGCCCAGCCGCCAAGCGCCCGAATTGAGGTGGTGCGACAGGGCCGATCGCCTGGAAACAGCACCCTGGACGGGGTCCGAAAGCGCTGAGTGGCCCGCGGCTGTGCTGGGACCATCGCCTACCGTTTCGGGTGCGGCTTGGCAATGGAGATCGGATCTCATCTGTCGCCGGCAAGACGGCGCTGGAGACACGAGATGACGGGCCAGGGGTTCAGGAAAATATTGACTTTGAATGCTACGGTACATAGCCAAGGAACTGCTTCAAGCTGAATATTGGAGGAAGGGGTTGACGTGTTTTGTTTCGAGCTGAACAGACGTTATTGGACAAGATCTTCTTCACTAACAGAAACATCCCCTGCTCAATCCACTGTTACATGTACCATGTACAGGGAACCTATAGCATAGTGCTGCTTTAAGCCATCCAAAATGTCTGTATGGTCTCGTGCCATATTTCCCTTTAGGGCGACAAAGTGCTGTCACTCTAGGGCGATGCAAAGGCTACTCTCAAAAGATGGCCATACATAGATACAGCTGCTTCAAGCTGGTTTCTTCAATGGTGGCTCAGGCCATATTTCATAAAGCCATTTGTCTATGCCACCGGTCCATGGCCAAGATAGTACGGGCTGCCCGTCATCACCCTTTGACATAGTAGCTTCCTCAGACTCTATTGTCAAGGATGTCAGATGAGGGAGGATACCCATT